TTACCCATTTATTGGGAAGGTAGAGCTTTCTGAGATTTACTTTTGGTCTTTATTGCCTGTAAGCACTCTAAGGTGTTTTTCCATTGTGCCATTCTTAGCTTGACTGAGCTGTAGACAAATAATTAATATTGCTATGATGGACTTTTGTCTCTCATTAGGAGCTGTTATTCTGCTTCCCTCTACAGTGCTGTTGGCTTCAGGGGATCTAATGGATCCACCCAGTAGATCTCAGTAGTCGGTGTTGGAAATGTCTGTATGAGTCATGTTATGAGAAGAACAAATTGTCCACTGAAAGAAACTGTCGCTCGAGTCTTTCCAAATTCACAGCAGTCTTTTAATCCATGAAGTTTGTGTCTGTCTTCCTTTGTTCTATTTAAGGCTTGCACTTACAAAGTTCCTATTTTGGGCAGCCAGTGGTTTTTTGGGGGATGCTGGTGTTCCACCACGTGCAGATACACCCTGCCTGGGGTCCTGGAGCCTGACTCCTTTTTGTCTCTCGTGCATGAAGCTGTTAATTCTGCTTGTGGCTTTCTGAAGTAACTAATCAATCACTAAAACAGTCACACAAGCATTTTTCTACTGGAAAATGTTTGTGATATGACCTAATACCATGTCTCTCTGCGAGTTACGTGGCTGGGCCTTGGAGCCAGCTGCAAGTGTGTCTGTGTCACTGTGCTGTGTGCTCTGGCAGGAAACGTCTTGTTCTTAAAGCTGCTATTTCAGAATCAGGTTTCAGTATAAGCAAACTGAGAATTTTGATCCATTTGATAGTTTTAAAATAAAATTTTAGGGCAGTCTGGTTTAACCCAAATCTAGGCGGGAATTATTTTCAGTCGTCCTTTTGCTCTGAGGTTTTGGGATCAATGAATCAAAAAAATGTTACTCCAGGTAAGTTTGCTCGTGACTTTGTGGAGGAAAAGCTCAGAGTTCCTCAGCCACCTGTGCACGTGATCTCACATCCAAACACACAAATACCGGGGATATTCATTTGTCATAGATAGTTTCTTGTTGATTATATCTCGTTCTGAAAAGAATGGCTTTATCTAGAAAATCTTTTTCTCTTTTTTTTTTTTCCTGGCAATGCTACCGTATTTGGTGATCTCTGGTTTCTGGTAACGTCTGTTTTGAGTCTGGTTACTTATTTTTCACCTGTCTTTGATCTCTTTAGCAGGTGGGGCAATCTCAGAATTGTTATGAAGACACTCTCCTTTATCTTCCTGTATTCTTTCCTATATTGGCGCCATAATGTGGAAAATAGCTGAAATGCTCAGTCAGAGTGGACTGACTAATGCAGCAGACTGATTGTTCATGGATTCAGGGAGTGACTTTTGTAAGAAATGAATATGGAAGAGGAAACAACCTTCATTCCCCCTTAACTGCCTCTTCGTCGAACAGTGTAAAATGCTGACTCTCAGGTCGTGCCATTTGCAAAGAGACTAATTGGACCTCCTTTGTGTTGACATATCTAACTCTTTCTAAAGCGAGCTGGTACCCAACACCCTGCCACTCCAGAGCTTGTCACCCGTTGTCTTTTACATTTTTATCATTTTATTTTGTTGTTATTCCTGGATTGAAGAATACCCAAAGTGTGTATTTTTATTCCTGATGCCATACGACGGTGTACCCTGCAAACTTCCCTTTCTCTGCTGTTCATTTTTATCACGGTGAGTTGGGAGTCCTCCTGGGCTGGCTGCGTTGCCTTGGCTGTTCTGTTAGCTCAGTGTGATGTCTCTGTGCTGACGTGCCTGGTGAAACGCTGCTGCTGCTGCTGATTTTGTGCTGGGTTTGATTTCATCTCCAGCGCGTAGAGATCTAACGGGAAGAATCAAGACGCCTCTGAAGTCTGCAAAGAATGAATCTTCATATTGTGAATATTTTAGATGTGAAGGATGACTCTGCTTATGGGAGGAGGAACAAGTGAAAGTAGCTCTAGATAAAATACTTGGTTTCTGGGCTTTCCTCTAGCCTCTGATATGAAAAGCTGTTGTTGGCAGTTTCTTTCTGTCCTCACAAGTGTTTTCATTTTCTCTCTTACCTGTGAGGTGCCCTCCCAGAAACAACTGTTCTCCTCCTTAGCTGGTAGGTACTGGCAGTAGAGAAAAAACAGACCCAATGTTTTCCAGAACTGAAACAGTAGTTTTTCAGGGTTTTTTCTGCCTCACTTCCGGATCAAGAATAGAAGAAAGATGAATGCTGACAGCTCGTTCCCAGCCAGGCTTTCACCTTTTATTCCTTAGAGAGGGTTGTAATATTTTCCTTGTGGGAATGGGAAGAGACACTTTATCCAATACCTACATCCTGACACCTCTCTACTAGACCAACCGCCTGTTAAAGGAAAGTTTTCATTCCTAATGCCCCTTGTTTTATAGACTTTTATAGTTCCTATGCAATTATTTTCAGTTTTTCCCCGATGAAATTATTGAGATTATCGCTACGTATTTAAATTTTCAAAGTATCCTGCAGACATTAAAAACCAAGAAGAGGAGTCATAAAGAGATTTATTAATTTGCAGTCGGAAGTGTGCAGTAGTTGCAGGAGAGATAAGCATGGGAAGAGAGGAGACATTTGAAATCAGAAGGTTTTTTTTAAAACTGGTATTTTCATTTCCGGCTCTGGTACAGTGGCCTGCTTCATTTAATGAAATTCATTCCCATGCGAACAGTATTAGTTTTCTTTGTTCTTTCTGCTTCTAGGATGACTCGTGTCTTTCCCAGAACACTGCTGTGTCAAATCCACCCCTGTCTGGTGTGGTCCAACCCCACGAGCTTTAAAAGATGCATTTTGCAGGCATTTTTTCTCTAGATTATTTTAAAGCGGATGATTTACCACAGACTCCAGCCTTCCTTTCTGTTAAAACTTCTCTGTACAGTGTATATGTCCTCGGTTTATTTTCTTCCATCTCTTTTATTTTATTTTTTGGTATCTGTAGTTTTGTACAATATTTGTCAGATACTGGCTTGCCGGTAGTATATCGCAGCGATGTTAGTTTTTGTGTTTGTAAATAAAGAGGTATGTTTTATTTCCTAAAGTCAATGGGTAAGTCTTGGCTTTTCCATACGCCCGTGATTGTTTGGATTGTGACAATATTTAGAAATCCTATAATATACCTGGGGTGGAGACACAAACATATTGTGCCTTCCTACAGCTGCTGTGGTGGTGGTTGGGGTTTTTTAGTGTGGCGTTTGGTCGATGATCTCTTTTCAAGAGAAAGGAGTAAATCTGTAGTCTTAATTAAAGCCCTGTCAACCTGAGTGCAGCCTGGGCTCTCGGAGACAGACGTGTGGAACACCTCCAGGGAAACCAAATGTGGAAAGTACCTATACTGCATCTTCAAAAGCCTTCATTTTAATAAATTAAGGAGTGTTCGGAAGAGAAATATGGATACTCATTAGCAGAATGGTTGAGGAACGTGGCAATCCAAATCCTTTCTGCAATCCATAAGTCAGCTGCTGTAAGGAGAGGCTGATTATTGAACTGCCTTGCCCGTAGTTCAATTACTCCATCAAAAATGGGCATTATTCTTTCAGAAGGCTTGAGCACTAAGTGAATTACCCTGGGATGTCTCCTCTTGAAGTGCTTTGCTGCGATGGCAGCACACGAGGGGTGGGGGTGTGTTTCACAGATGCATCAGTTGAAAGTGGAGGTTTTGGCTCGGATCTCAGAGTTGGTGGCTCTACGTGACACAGAGCACGGGCTCAGGCTCACGGCTCCCCTGATGGTGGATGTCAAGAGCCTAGAATTTTCACTGAATTTCACTGAATTTTAGAGTTGGAAGGGACCATAGAGATCATCTAGTCCAACTCCCCTGCTGAAGCAGGATTGCCTAGAGCTTGTCAGAGCATGTTACTCAGGAGCATCCAGGTGGGTCTTGAAAATCTCCAAGGAAGGGGACTCCACACCCTCCCTGGGCAGCCTGTCCCAGGGCTCTGCCACCCTCACCGTGAAGAAGTTTCTCCTCATATTTGAGTGGAACCTCTTCTGTTCCAACTTGTGCCCGTTGCCCCTCGTCCTCTCACTGGGAACCACTGAAAAGAGTCTGGCTCCCTCCTCCTTCAACCCACCCTTGAGATACTTGTAGGCATTGATAAGGTCTCCCCTCAGCCTTCTCTTCTCCAGACTAAAGAGTCCCAGCTCTCTCAGTCTCTCCTCATAAGGGAGATGCTCCAATCCTTGAATCATCTTTTGATGATTTTGATGATGCTTTTACACCGAGTCCTCATCTCAGAGGACTTGCTTTGGCATCAGACTTGGGGGAAGTTCTCTGTTCTCCCTCGGAAGGTCTGGGGCCACATTCTGAGCCGGGCAGCAGGACTGTGACATCGACACCGCTCCCCCAGAACCCTGGAGATGTGACTGCCCTGAGCCCTGCCTAGAGATGGATGTCATCAGTCCTAAAACACTGAGCAGCTTCCCTTTGATGTCAGTACCATCAGATTATCCAGAGCCTGAAATCATGGGTTTGTGGTTTTGGTAATTTGGGGAATACTTTAGATTTTGGGATATGTGTGTGTAGCACACAACTGTACAGGCACTGCATAAGGAATTAAGATTTCCTTGTGCTCAACAGCATTATTTTAAGGGTTCCAGTAACAGTTACTTCTATTGCTTTGTAGTTTGGTAGGAAAATTAACCTGGAACAGTACTACTTTACAGTGAAAACGAATCTAAACTAGTCTGTAAAATTTTACAGAGAAGGGAGGACTTGGTCTTTATTAAATTGTCAAATATGTCCAAAGTGCTGGAATATAGTGGGTTAAAACATTCTGCTGCCCTGTTACAAGAACTAGGATTCACCATTCACATTTGGACCAGTAATGTGTTGCATCTCTTTCAGCAGCGCTGCACTTCAAGCCTCTCTTGTTGGAGGATTTTTCCTAATGGAAGAGTTAGGTCTTGAAGATGATGCTGGTGGAATTTCAGAAATACTTAATTTGAAGATTTACAAGGAATGATTTTTCTTTTGACTACTGAATTTGCATGGCTTTAGAAAAGCAGCACATTGGATGGATAACCCTGATATGAAGACCCCAGGGAACAGCCACATCCTCGGGATATTATCTTGCGCTCTCTGTCTGCCGTTGGTAGTTTCCCTTGAAAAAGTGACCATCCCAGCAGAGCTGAAGTTGGCTGTCCTGAAATACCCGGTCAATGCCACCTCCTGCAGCGTCACCTGCGGGCCGGGCTACAAGCTGGAGGAGATATGTGAGATCACTCCCTCTGGAGAGAGGAGGAATTGTACCTTGCGCAGGTCCTACTGCCTCACCAGCTGGCTCTGTGGCTTACTCTACTTCACCGTCCCCGTTGGCCAACCCTTCCAGTTCAGCTGCCTGACCACGGACCCAGCCAGCTCTGGGAGCCAAGCTTATACCTACACGTGGAGGCTTGCCCAGGGCCTTATCACCACAAACGATGTGCTGTTCAAACCTTTCAATAACCCAAATTCTGTTGTCAAATTTTCCCCTACCAAGGAGTCCGATGCGGGGACCTACCGATGCGACGTGCAGATACTGAAGACACTTAAAGTCATCAAGAGGGTCTACTTTGGGATCAGAGTGGTGCAAAAGAACTTAGTGGATCTGAACTTTCAAAAATTCTTGACCTGGCAACAGAAGTTAGCAGCAAACAAGGAGCTGGTGTACTACCCAGACAATAGCACCCATGAAGAAGTGCACGAGCAGCGGCATTTTTGGCGAGGAGGGTTGTTTTCTGAAGGCTTGATAGGAGTTGGAAGCGGGGTGCTGGGGGGTGTCTTGTTGAGCGTGGCTCTCTACTACTTGCAGAAGATTGTGGCAAGGAGAGCTGCAAAGAAACGAACCGCCATTTAATGCAATTGCTTGTCTCTCTATTAGTGTTGATGCAGTATTTCATGGCAATATCTGTAATTTTTTTTCTGGCTGCCACAGTTTATTGCCAAATATTTTCTTGAGCTTCGGAGTCTGCTGAGTTGGTGCAGGGCTGTAGCACCAGAGCTGGAGTCTCAATGGAGAGGTGCAGACAGTAGCTCTGGATGGGACAGAGCAGTTTGCAGCCACGTTGTGTGAAAGGATGGTTGGGAATGGTCCAGGTGGGAATTAGAGGACACTGAGCCAGAGAAACTGCCCACTGCTTGCTGCCAGCTGCCTTGCCGTGCTCCTCTAGGTGGCCTTTATTCTTCATCTAGGTGTCTGGATATTTTTATCTAGCTAATAACTTACAATCCTGATTCCTGTCTTATTTCTTCTGCTTTGCCCAGAGCTCTGTGGTGGTGTGAGCTGACGCAGATCAGTATTTGATAGATGATGTTTCTCCAGCAAGAGGTGCAGAGAAGTAAGGATGCTCTGGAGGTGGGCTCTCAGACCAGGTTTCCTGGTTCTCTGGTGTCCTTTCCATCAGCTCCAAGAGCTCTGGTCTCAGCAGCCGTGGGGACGAGGGGTGGGCCACCGCTGCCTGCTTCCTCCAGAGAGATTTATCTCCTATTAGAGCCCAGAAAACTCTAAGTATCTTCAAGCCACAGCTTGGAGCTCGCCCTGTTCCCTTTGTAGTGTAGAAGAGCGAGGCAGGGAGCGTTGGGGGCACACCAGCACATCTTCCGTTTGAGCGCTGCTGCTTAGAAACATAACGGGGAGGTTTTAATCAAGACTCGGAGCTGAGCTCATTCCTCAAATCTTTAAAGGGGGAGGAACGGAAGAGTTCAGTGGGCTTGTGGATCTTTCATTTTTCCTGGTGATTAATAAGTATAAAACATGCAGCAACTCGGTAGGGAGTATTGTTTCCCCTTTGGTAGCAGAATCCACATAGGGACCTATTAAGTGCCTTCTTTCTACTTTCTGTCTTTTATTTTACAGTAAACAACTATATTTACCAAGTCTGTTTTCTTTTTCTCCTTTTTTTCCTGGGAACTGAAGTACAGGAATGCAGAGCACACGCAGTTCTGGGGAAAATAATGATACCACTCTCTATTATTAAAGATTGACGCAAACTATTATTTTTTTTTTCTTTTTACCAGAACAACAACAAAAAAAGCTTTAATAGAGAGAGAGATGGATATGGATGTAAATACCTTATTTGCAGAGAATCCTACATAAAAAAAAATCAGATTGAAACGTAGTGATCCAAATTTTTGGGTACAGTGAAGGTGGTAATAAGTGTATCAATACAACCATCTGTGGACCCTGGGGTTGTCAACCTGTATTTGAGTGGAGAACCAAACCTGTCATCAGGCCTGAATCCCCAGTTTGTGGTTCTGCTGAGTTCCCTGTTTCTGTGGGGAGACTTTAATGGGCACAATAACTGGCAGAAGTTTGGGAATGTTGTGGGGGCACCATTCTGCAGAGGCAGAAGATGCCTTGGTGAAGATGCACTGTCCTTTCCCGATGCCTGGGGAAGGGACAGGAGGGTTGTTACAGCTGTGACAGACACCAAGGGACTGTATGTCCTTCTTCCATCTGGTGACCTGGTCCTGGGAGTCAGGAGCTCCTGGATGGTGATCCAGTTGTCCAAGGTTTTCTTGCTTCTGTTCTTCCTCAGTTTCCTCTGACCCAGCTCCACAACACTGAGGTTTCTCCTGTGCTCAGCGCTGGCTTGGTCTTGGCTTGGCTGCTCCCTCTGGCTCTGCCGTGCTTTTCTCTGGCTCTGGTCCTTAATGCAGAATTCCTTTGCCTTGCCAAAGAGCTCCCCAGTCCCTGAAACCAGTAGCTCCACAAAAGCATTAACTGCTCAGAGGCTCAGCAGCATCTCCCCAGACTAGGGAGAGAGATCTCCAGGTAGGGCTCTTAATCGCTTCCTCGTTCTGCTGCAGAGGTGGGAGATGGAATCGTATCTTTGTGTCTTTATAAAATAAATGTGAAAAAAAGGTTCCAGTAAATTCCATGGTTTGGATTGGTTTAGTGTTCAGCTACCCCGTTGATACCTGCTTTAGGTTGATTGTCTTCTCTTAAAACTAATTTCTAATCAACTTGAGTAAAACCAGAGTGAGCCTCATCTGTGTGGGGCAAAACACATGGACTTAGCCCTTTGCCTGGATTTAACACCACGGAGAGTGATCTCGGTGTAAAACAAGCCCTAGATTTCCACCCCACAAAACTCTTCTTGCTCCCAGGAATTTCTCCTCTTCCCACAGCCCCTGGACAGCGGGAACAGCCATATGCTTGGTGTGGGAGCTAATGGTTAAAATCCACAAAGAGAAGCTGTCCCATCTGGAAGACCCTCTCTACACTTTGTAATGTAAATGTGGGGCTTGTGTCCTGTGGGCAGCTGTGATTTAGAAATGCAGAAAGATGACATGAAAGGTCCAGGACAATCCATTTTCTCTTTTTTTTTTTCGGGAGGTCAGAGTGGGACCAAAAGGGTCCTTCAGCTTTTCATTGTGTCCTCCCTTTGTGTTTTTTTTTTTTTTTTTTTTTTTTCTGAGGGGAGACAGATGCCTGGAGCAGGAAAGATTAATATATATTTTTTTTAATGCTTATTTTCAGATGGAGGGCTGTGATGGACAGTGTGACTCCAGCTGTCGGAAGGGGTGGGACTGGTGTAGCTGCTGTTTGAAATGACACTTTTCCTTGTAGGCTTTTGTGTATAGCTGCTGTTGGAAATGGCATTTTCCGTGTAGGCTTTTGAGCTTTACAACAATCTAAAATAGGTTGGCTGATGTTTACATTAGCAGGTCTGCGGGATGGGGGGGAAGGAAGGGAGAACAGCCTGAGCTGAGGGAAAGAGAGGTCAGGAAAGGGGAACAGGGGAGGCTGGAGGTGCAGGGAGGTCAGTGAAAGCAGCTGGAGCAGGGACCCTTCAAAACAGCGTGTTCTCCCCATCCCTCCATTTCTTTGTGTCTCCCTATAATCTGCCTGTTTTCTTACTCACTCTCCCCGTTCTTCCCAGCATAACTGGCTTAATTACAGGAAAAAAAAGGTCTCTTTCTGCTCTGAATTGGCAATGCAGTGCCTAAACTGCTTTTTCCCACTCTTGCCTGCCTCACCTGGAGGAGAGGATGGCCAGGACTGTGTGCAGACCCTGTGTTTTGTGCCAGTTCCCAGCTGGAGGGGTGGTTTTTTTTGTGGTACAAACTTCTGCTGACGATCCTAAGTATTAGGAAGCAATTAGTATTGTACGTGCTAAAGCCAGACAGATTGTGTGAGGGAGGAAGTCAATTTGCTAATGGCATTAGCACTTGGAAAGAAGGAGGTAATAACAGAATGGTGAGGCATAGGCAGCTGTTTAAATTGCTGTTAGCTACTGAAGCTTATCTAAATTGAATAACTAGATTGCCTTAACTGCTGGAACTCGAGTGGCAGCAAAAAAAGAGGAAAACAAACCCCATATGCTGCTTTTGTGCCGAGATGGGGTTGTCGGGCTCTTCCATCCTCTGCACCTTCATCTGTGTTAATTCTTTCACTTATTCCTGCAGTTGCTGGCAGCGGTTCAGCGACCTGCCAGGGCGTAGTGAACAGTGAACCACTTTGCCAACAAACGTTTTCCTTCCAACTCCATGGAATAATGCTTTTGAAAACCAGGGAAATTCAAAGTTCACTCTCCCCTTCCCTTTTGCTGTCCTCCTCCCAGCACATATACGTTGAGTTGCTATCGATATTTTGCCTGTGTCCTTCCCTGCATTTATTCCAGGAAACTGCAGCTTTTTGGCAGTGATTTTTGTATGAATATGTTCCTTTGTTGCCTGTCTGTGGTGATGCTGGCGTAGACGTGTGGAACTCGTGTATTTTTGTCAGTTAGGTTGACGGTTGGACAAGATGATCTTTAAGGTCCCTTCCAACCTAGAAGATTCTGTGATTCTGTGTTTTGGTAAAGCAGGCTGAGTACCGTGGGCTTAATTCATGTGTCATCTTAGGCCGAGTGTAGAAAAGCAAATTCACGATTGCAGCACTAATCCTAAGGAGGAGTGTTTTGGTTAACTCTAAATCAGTGTATGATGAGTCAGACACAGACCACAAGGGTTTTTGTGTACTTAATTCTGATGAGATTGTTATTTGTCTTTTAGTGACTGTTCTGGGAGAGGAGGCTGGGACCAGTGTAAATCCTTTGCTCACCCTTTTGGTATTTATAAGTGATGTAAGGAAGGTGATGAAGGAAACCTCTCTGAATGTCCGGGCTGGGGTCTCGGTGGGCAGCGTACGGGGCTGTGTAGGCAGCAAATGAGAGACCCAACAATGTAAGACCTACAAACAAAGAATCCTTTAAAATGCCTGTGGGGAAGTAACGAGGAGTTACTCAGGTGGGACACAAATCATTAACTCTGGGGTAGATTCCTTTCAATTCTTGAAATGTTTTGTTTTGATATCATTTTAAAGGGATTTGTTTGAACTTTTTCTGCGACTTTAAACAAAAGAGCAGTAAACCACTTCAGCTGCCCTTCCCCTCCAGGAAAAACCCTAAACAACTCATAATAATTTGAACCTTACACTGAAATGCTGTAAGTTTCCTAGCAAGTTAGCTAAATATTTCCCTTTGGTATTTACATGTAGAAAAAGAACTCTGTTGGGACCAGGCCTGGCAAAATATGGCAAGGGCTGGACTCATGGTGACTACAGCCTCAGTGCCTGAAACCTGCGAGGGAGCCTTTGCTGAAAACACACTGACACTCCTGGATAAACTGGTTTTTTGGTCCTAAATGCAGCTGAGCTCTCCTGAGGTTACTGTGGTCTGTTGGTGCTGGCTCGGTGGGACTGATGGGTGCAAGTGATGCTTCAGAGCATCCTTCATCCCCTGCCCTCTCCATGGGGCTGTGCTTGCCTTCCCGGTAGGACCCGTCTGTTACTCGGCGGCGGCGCATTTGTCTCCTTGATTTATATCCTGTGCAGTGGCATTTAATGATGGCTCCTGAGAAAGCAGGAGTGCCCTTGCGGGGGGTGAACCGGGGAGGAATTTATCTCCGTCTCGGCCGTTCCCTGCTGGTTTCTTTTAATGATGCTGCCCTCACCTTTACAAAGCATAAATCCCAGAGCTAATTAC